ATAGCAGGGGGACCACCACTGAAAGCCCTAGGATGAGGTGATATAATAGTCAGGCTGCCAAACGGCAATAAGCATTCAACTATAGTACTGAAAGACATGATATACGCACCACAAATGTCAAATACCCTCATATCAACCAGCCAAGTTGACAAAGCCGGATACTGCATACACATTGAGAAGTGAATGTGCCGCCTACTATCACCACATCCTAAATGTCACACCATAGCATCCGTATCAGCTCAGAAGGGCTCTAACAAGTTAACAACACTGCACCACCAAAGAACATTTTTGAACGCTTTGGTGGATCAGCCATAAATGCCAAAATGGACATAAACGAGCTACATAGAGCCCTTGGCCACATTTTCCATTTGTCTGCAAGGAAGTTAGTAAAATCTGGTATGGTCACAGGCATAGACTTGGACAAAACTGCCGAGAAAGAAGTATGTGATGCCTGCGTAAAAGCAATATCAAATGTAAAGCCATTCCCTGCAGTATTGGACACTCGCACATCCTCATATGGAGAATGTATCCACTCAGACCTATGGGGACCTGCATCTGTAGAAGATATAACAGAGAAGAAATACATGCTCACCTTCACAGACAACTTCTCACGAGAAGTACACGTACAATTCCTATCAAGCAAAGACAAAACCCTGCACAATTACATCCTATTTGAAAAATGGCTGAAAACCCAGAAGGATGGAGCTATAATCAAAGTTCTACATTCAGACCAAGGGGGAGAATACACTAGTAAAGAGTTTGATCAACACCTTGACGGACAAGGAACTGTCCGCAAACTCACCGTGTTAAGATATTCTTTACCTACTCATTCATTAATGCTTCTCATATATTTTCTCTATTCTATTTCCTCTGAAAACCGCTCTTTTGCACATTACATAATCATCGGACATTCCCAAACTTACACAAAACTCAGACTTTCTTTTTCTTGACAACCTCAGTCTTCTAATAATCAGACTGAGGTATGCCATTTACACTTACATCACATTATAATAACTTACTTCTACCTTTTAGACATTTTCTCTTACAATTTGCTTGACTAAACACACTGTACACGATTCACCGCAGCAAAACAGTGTATCAGAATGACTAAACAGAACCCTGATCAAACATGCTGGGGCCATGTTAATAGCTTCACACCTCCCAAAATTCCTATGGAGTGAGGCCATTAAACACCTCATATGGACAAAGAACAGATCACCCACCCAAAGTCTTGACGGAAAGACACCATACAAAATGATACGTGGTGAACTACCAGACCTATCAGACTTGCACAAATCTGGATGCAACGACTTTGTAAAAGACAATTCAGCTGGTAAACTCGATGTCAGAGCCAAGAAAGCCAAATACATAGGATTTGACCCACAAAGTAAAGGTTACCGGGTCTACTGACCTGACAAGAGAACTATAAGTGTGGAAAGAAATGTAGTATTTGTACCACATAAGAACTCACACAAATACATGACTACCATACCCAAACATAATGTCGACAAAATCCCACTGACTGCCACCAAACCTACCCTACCCTCAAATATGCACAATACTCCTCCTAAAGAACAGTCTATCAGCAAGATACAGGAGGTAATAGAGAGAGAAGAGTTAACTGACGAAGAGGCGGACAACCAAAAGGAAAAGAACAACATGAGGGAAAGGCCCACACATATTGCCGCACTTAAACTGCAAGGCTTCTATAAATCATTGAATGATGGGAAACTTACTGCCAAATCAGCACACATATCAGAAGAATCTGACGTGTCTATTGAACACAATGATTACTTAATGGCCTATGCAACCGGAGCTGCCGACTGTGACAGTCCTCGTATCCGACGGGCACTTCAAGGCCCTGAAAAGGATCACTGGACAAAGACGATTAATGAAGAACTAAGTCAACTAAACAAGCTACATACCTGGGATGTAACTGACCCTCCACCGGGGTCAAATATCATACAAAGTCATTTCGTCAAATGAAAGGAGAGAAATACTAAAATATAAAATCAGGCTTGTCGCAGATGGAAATAGACAAAAATACAGAGTGGATTACCTCCAGACATATTCTGCAGTTGCCAGATTAAGCTCTCACAGGATGGTTCTCACCCACGCAGTCTCAAAAGTCTGGGAAATTGAGCAAACCAATATAAAGAGTGCATACCTGAATGCCCCTCTTGACGTACACGTTTACATGCGACTACCCAACCAAATAATGGATGACAAGATCAGCAGGAAGATTGTCCAACTGTGCAAAAGCATATATGGTCTAAAACAATTGGGCAATAAATGGTATAATTGTCTAAATAATACATTTACTCACCTAGGGTTTTGCCAATCAGAATATGATCATGCAATATACATCAGGCAAGATGGTCAACCTGACATGGTAGTCGCAGTGTTGGTTGACAATATGTCAGTAACAGCCAAAGCAAAAACTACAATCAACAATTTCAAACGAGACCTACAAAAACAATACAAAATCAGTGATATGGGGGAAATATAGTGGCTATTAGGCTTCAAAATAATGAGGGACAGAAAGACACATACCGTATCAATAAGTCAAACAGCATACATTGACTCCATCCTTGAACAATTCAGTCTAAAGGATGTAAAACCCCTCAAAACACCACTAGAACCTGGTATAATCCTATCAAAGGACCAAGTACCAAATACACCCGAGGATCAGAAAAGAATGGAACACATACCTTACCGCAAAGCAATAGGGAAACTAATATACCTATCACTAGGTACACAACCCAACATCACATTCACCATCTATATCCTCTTGCAATTCTCAAACAACCCAGCACCCGTACACTGGGAGTCTCTAAAATGAACGATGAGATACCTAAAAGGGACCAAAATGAGAAAATTGACCTTGGGAGGGACTAACGAAGGATTGATGGGTTACTCAGATAGTGATTGGGCCTCGCAACCCCACCGTCACTCAATATCCGGATACATATCCACCTTCAATGGTCGACCAATATCCTGGAACACCAAAAAACAGCCAATCATTGCCCTATCAAGCATTGAAGCCGGATGTATTGCACTCACCTCCACATTGAAAGAAGCACTATGGCTCCAAACATTGCTAGTCAATATTGACCCCAACTTTCCTGCAAAACCCACCATCATAGCCACTGACAACCAAGGTGCACTCACCTTAATGAAATCGAACTCCTACCATGTGCAAACCAAGCACATCAACATCAGATATCATCACATCAGAGAAACTGTACAAAATGGAGATATTGATATCAGATATTGTCCTACAGAAGATATGCCTGCCAATATGCTTACCAAAGGCCTTTTACGCACCAAGTTGGACAAATTCTTGTCATACATTGGTCTGCGCTAGGCTCAAGGGAGGGTGTAGTGATTGTGCAGCTCACGCCCAATAAGTGTGAGCAACAGGTAGACACCAACAACTACAAGTGGCGCAAATTCACGCGCGCATGAATCTCCTTCTTGATATAGATATCAGACATTCCCACAAACTCATACTTACTTGTTCTTCATTCATTGTTACACCTCAGTCTTTTATTCATTGGGTAAGGAAACCATATATTACAATACCTACAAAACTATACTGACTTCACAATAGTCTCTTAATTTATTGCTATAGGTACTTACAACAGACTCAGTCTTTTATTCATTGACTGAGTCTCTTAAATCATTTCTATAGAATATCATAACTTTATCATGATATTGCTCAGTTCAGTTGCAAAACAACAACAACATTATTCGAACAGCCAGAACACATAATAACTAAGATGGTGCCAACCCAGAAGTTTTGTCCAGTAGTAACAACATTTGTAGCCCAAGTCAAACCCCAATCATATTCACTCACAAGATGTAACACTGTAGTTAGTCTGGTTAGTATCTCTACCCTGTATTGCCACTCGTTTCTCTCATATTTTGGCTAATGCACTGTTTGTGGATGGCAAATGTTCAGGGAGAACATAGACTGGACTGGGAAAACTTGGCTGTGCAAAAAAATCAGCAAGATCAAAGCAATAACTTATAAAGTACATACCAATTCCACCACCCCATAAGTTTGTAAACCTCATCTTTTTTGTCGCAATCCTGGAGAAGGTTAAGAATACTATTATAAAACCGCTCTGAGTCCATGGCCAAGTCACAGATCCTTGTTGAGCAGTTGCCAGTGGTTTTTTGTTTGCGGCTGTGTCCATGATAATATCATTGTTTAATTGCACCTGTTCATGGTTGGAGGATACTGGATTTCCACTTGTATTAGAACCATGTGGTGGATTACAGTGAGCATAAACACGGCCAATTCCAAGGCCCCAGTAATATGTTACCATCATGTCACAATCAACAAATCTGTCGAAGAGAATATTAGTATAGTGAACCGTTTGAATAAAATGATTTAACTTACTGATTATTGTAGTAATGCTTGAAATTTTTACCATCTTGAGCAAATCAAAACATCTGAATTCTTTTTTATTGAGGTCTGTCATTCATGGTGCACTGGTAGTGGAGGATAGGGTGAAAGCTGGGGAGTATATTGTTGTGGACATGATTGATGGGGACATGTTTCTCCGGGTGACAGCTATACATGAGGAAGAAGGGAGTTGATACAACGTGAGTGTACACTTTGCTCTTTTAGGATAAAACTTCAAGCTTCTATTCATTAGATGTCTATCACGCTATATGATGCCTTTTTTCTCCCTTCACTGTATTTCTCTGGCCGTGTTCTGTAGTGCTCCTGATCTTAGAAGAATGTATCCTTTGCCTTACCTGCTCATCAAGTAACTTTTGGTAGAACAAATATTCCCCCACAGCAGACACAATATCAGCAACTGCAACAATCATAGCAGCCAGTGGTCCAGTCTAGTCAGGGATAAGCATTACCAGGGTTGAGTACATATCTTCAACCATCTAATCTTGTGCTGCCAGGACCAGGTTTTTCTCCACTATTGCAGTCACGTTCACTGTTGCAGCCTCCCACAACTTATCATTCACAGGCTCTAGTGAATAGCTCCTAGTCTAATACTATCACTGGCTCCTTTGACTCCAGTCGCTACTCCTGTGGCCACAACACCAGCACCACTCACCCTTGAGAAGCAACATATTACCACTTTCAAAAGTATTGTTCTGACATTGCAGAATATTTTTGCTACGGTCAACCTCAATTGTCGGCTTAACCTGAAAACTATTGTGTTACACGCTTGTAATGCGGAATATAATCCCAAGGTTGGCATTATTTGATTTGTTATGTATGTGCATATTGAGTTTCTCACTTCATCACTACACAGCATTTTGCAGCTGTTATATGTGTATCTATGGATCCCAAGATGACTGCACTCATTTTTGCTTCAGGCTAAATTGTAGTCACTAGTGCAAAGTCAAAAAACCACTTGCAACTAACATCACACAAATATGCACGTATAGTGCAAAAACTTGTATTTGACACAAAGTTCTCCCAGTTCATCTTCAGTAGCTGTGATGTCAAGTTTATTATACAACTAGAGGCCTTAGCATGTAGTCAAGGGCAGTTCAGTGGTTATGAGCTAGTGGTAATAGGTAATATGTTCTACTAAATTACTGAAGCTGGTGTTCTCCACCATATGTTATACCTTGTCTTTCCACCTTGCCATGCTTCTCCATTTACACTTATTGGTGTACTATAGAGGCATAATATTACATTTAATAGTTATGTACTCTCTTCACAGTTGTTCCCCAATCTCATGTATCACAATTCAATTCCAGATGATTCAGAGGCCTTTTTTATTACAATAATATCAGTGCACACTTAGGATATTAAATGTTATGTGACTCAAATCATGTTGGAATAGCCTTGGTATGGTTCAACTTCTCTGGCTTCTGAATTACCATCCACCAACAATGCATCCATATTATTGCAGGCCATTTTCTTTTACATCAAAAACCACAATCATTTATTCTTGCATGGGCACTAGATGCACTCAACCATCTCAATTTCATTTAGTCACCTTGCTAATTAAATAATTTAATGTACATCAGAAATGGTGCATCGTTTCAACATGTCAGTGAGCTGCCCCTGCAGCTGTTGCTTTAAATGCTTACAATGTGTTTGCAGTGTGTTGTCAATGGTTCTTTTCTGAACCGCTGACATTGTTCTCACTATAAAATGATAAGAATTCTCACTTTGCTCTTCTCCACTTTTTGTTCATGTCTGACCCAAAGCTATATTCCAAGCCTGATATCACAAACCCTGGTGCCGGCCCATTTCTCCCTGATCCTTAAGCAACTAAAGAGAAGTTATTTCGAGGTAATATTTATACTCTACAATGTCAAAATGTAGACTATCTAATTTATGGTATTAACAGGTCCTCAAAGAGTTTCAACTTTATGACCAAACTCTCATGAAGGAGGTTAGAGGCCTGAAGTCAGATAACAAGCTGCTCCTGGCCAATGCTCATGGCCATCAAAAGAAATCAGGTATACCTCAAGAATTTGTTGTTAACAAGACTACCATAAAAAAAATGCCCGCTGGTATGGTGTCATGTTCAAGATATTCCCCAATAAGGCCATGATGAATCAGACCCTTCCAGAGATTCCTGTACTATTTGATAACACCAACAATTATGATATCCCCACTACTCAAAAGAGTGCACTACTTGACGGGTTATACAAAGCATTTCCAGACAGCCTGCATCCGCTTATGACCTCTAGCCACTTTAGCAACCTCGTGAGTGCATATTTATTCTTATTTTTCTTTACTTGCTAAAGATCTTATTATAGGTTGTGCCACAGGCTCAAGCTGTTCATTCTGATCATCTCAAGAAACTCTGTACTTGTGCAGCCAACATCTTCCCCGACATTCCAGCCAATTACATCAGTAATGCTCAGTACAAACAAAAAGTCAAGTTTTAGTCATGTGAAGTCAGGTTCTAGTCATACAAAGTCAGGCAAAAGTCACACTTTAGTCAAGGTTTAGTAAAAAATGACCTGACTCCCATGGTGTGATGAACTCACTACTTTTTGAGTGCAAATAGTGAGAAGATAGTCATATTTGTAGTCATATGTTAGTCATTTACTTTAGACTGAAACACAAAACTGTCACTTCAGTACAAAAGGAAAATGGAACTTGACAAAAATTTTCAAAAGATGTGGCTACCACTGGTTGGAACAAAGTGTCTACTTTAACACACACATCTTTTCTTAGTTTGTTTCTGGTGTTTTATTCACACACAGGTCCCAAAAAACTGTCTTTGTGGCCAGACTTCTCTGGAAAAAGAGGGACAATCCAAGAACAACACAGCAAGGCAATGGGGTGTTACAGGTGCCACACCAGGTGCAATAGCTGGGTTTTGTATTAAAGTGAGTCCCACCTTTTTACTTTACGGCTTCAAATCTAACTATTATTTACCATTAACAGACTGCTGTGCTGCTTGCACCCGACACTCAATTTAGCCATGATGAGCTGGGAAAAATCTTGAAGATCAACTATGTAGAGTTTTTTTCATGCTCAAGCAGGTCCTTATCATGGGTTGGAACATCCCTTGCATCAAGTCTATTGTTCGGAACATCAATTACTCTATCTGGGGCACTGGTCAGCCCTGTTGAAATACAGCAGCAGGTTCTCTCAAAGATGAAATATTTGACATTGACCGCATCCTGCTGGCCCTCAATGTAAAGGAAGGTGAAACAAAAGCTGGAGAGAATATAGCTTTGCTTATTAATATGGCTGTCAGTGTCACTGCTGAACTCCAGCCACCAACTATAGTCATAGATTCAGAGTTTGTAGCTGGCATTTGTGATAATGCTGGTGCTGTAGCCATTGATACTATGCAACCTTGCAGCAGGGGGAGAAGGGATAGGGTGGTTTTGGGAACAGCTAGGTCTAGTGCAAAGTAGTTTTTTTAATTTTGTCCTTACAACAATGTTCCATCTTGCAAACCAAGTTTGTTTTATTGAGGTAGTGTTGCAATATAATGTAGCTTTCTGAGTTATGGTGGTACATTGTATTTACATTGCAACGCAAACATGTAGCCATTACAATGAATATTGCAATGCTGACGTCATGATAAGGGGGTAATTGTAATCACAATTGCAATTGGGGGCTTTGATTGCAATTTTATTTGAAGGCACTGGGGGCAAAATCCCATGTTTTATATTAAAACCTTTGAAAAACACTTGAAAAACAGAGACTTTGTTCCTTAGCATGTTTCTCAACATGACATTGTGAGTTATTTTGCTCACTGTTTTTTCAATCTTTTCTCATGAAATATTAGAGAAAATATCCAAATGTACTGTCGCAAAACATTTTTCCACCCAGTGTAGATGCAATACTGATTGCCAATGTTTTGCAAAAATACATTTTGTATATTTTCCCCAATGTTTCTTGAGAAAGCATTGAAAAACATTGAACAAATAAAATCCAATGTTATTTAATGAAATATGCAAAAAAACAAAGTCTCTGTTTTTCAAGTGTTTTTCAAATGTTGTATTATAATGGGAGTGGGCAACACCAGCCAACTCGGTAGCGTTCCCACAATCCCGTGGGAAACAATTGAGACAAGAGATAATGACACAACTGGAGGGTGCGGGTTGCGAGGCTAAAGGTTCTTTGTACGCCAAGTTGTGTACAAACTTTGAGAGGGAAAGTTGTTTGCAATGCAAATATCTTCAAGTTGTTGTGAGCAATTTCGAAAATCGTCTTTTTTGAGTGAGATATGCATTCCATATTCAATTCAGTAGGTAATTGTACAGATTTTGTAGAAATGATCACAACAAATCAAAGGTATATACAGTGAAATAAGAATGCGCCACGACTTGCACAGAGAATAGATGAATGACATGGGCCTTTAGGATATGAAGGGATGGCAGTTAAATTGGCGCATCGCGCGACCACAAGCGCGTTTGCTGATGTGCGGGCACTGATTGCCTCGACTCTCCCTGGCGAAACATCACAGTCATTACTCCTTTCTGCGCTGGAAATTTCATCTCACTTACTGGATAGTCCTTACAAACTCTGTGAGCCTTGAGAGCCTGCCTAATCATATCTCCCTGTCAACTTCGAGCCCGAGCTAGCCTTTGATGCCTCGCTGCAGAAAACAGCGCTCTCAAGCCCAGGCAGCCCACCTTGATCGAGCGCGAGAGTTGCGGTGGCTGCGCCTCGATTCCAACAAGAAGAACAACATTATTTCATTCTATAATGCCTTGAGTCAGGCTGGAGTTCAAACACGCAGGGCTGCTCACTCACATGCAATCAAAGACCTTGAAGTTAAGTTGTCGAAGGCCAACTGCAACTTTGATCTTGCTAGAAAGGCTCTCACACAAAGAAATTCCTGCATTAGACGTCAGAATGCTGAGCTGGCAAGCAAGAAGGCCTTGCTTGCAGCCAGAAGTGCGGAGGCCATGGAAATGAAGAGTACATTACAAGCACTGGAGCGGAGTGCGAGTGCAGCAGTTGAAGATCTTTATGATGCACATTTGAGAGTGCAGCGGCTGCACGTCCTCCTTTGAAACGAGAGGCGCAAGGTTTCTCGTTCAAAACCTGCAGCATGGTTAGCCAAGGCAAGCCTCAAAGAAGTTCGCACCATCAAAATTCCATTAATACAGAAGGATGCCTTAGAAGGCGGTGGCACATGAGGAGGAGCTGGCGGGGTGCATCAGAGAACTCAGACTTTGCGCTGAAAGGAGTGAGGCAGACATTGCATCTCTGAAGGACAACTTGAAGGCAAGCTGAAGAAAAACATGCACCTATCAGATGTGTGCACTTTGGACATCTCGGAAGCTGGCAAGTGCACTGACACGGAGAAAAGAGGGGACACTGCATCAGTCGGCAATGCAGCGCATCATTTCCAAGGGGGTCTACTCACAGCAAAGTCGCTCCCTCGCAAGATCACTTGTTCTGGCCGGCTGTGCGCGCGAAGCTGTGGGTAAGCTCGTCCAGCAGGTGTTCAAGCTTCTCGGCTTGCCCATACCTCCATGGATGAGCAGGCGGACTGTTGGGAGGGCAATACTTGAGGGTGGTGTAGCAGAGAAGGTCCAGTTGGCCCATGAGATGGCACAAACAAAGAGTGAGCACAATCCAAGTTAGAACACTTGAAATTTGACTTGCGTACTTGTAGGCCTCACTGTCAGCACTGACAAAACATCCCATAGGCATGTGAACTACGAATCTCGGCACATTTCATACAAAGTTACCTCCTATGCCAAGAATGATGTAACACCTGCCAAACCAGTTGTGCGGCTTCTGGGAGTTGAATCATCAAAGAACCATTGTAGCGAGACGCAGCTAGAAGGCCTCCAATTATCAGTAGCTGCTCTTGCAACAATTTACAATGACTCTCCTCTTGCGCAATGCACTGGTTCTGACTTCAGTGATTGGATCTTCACACGGAAGGCAAAGGGGATCAATGGTGACCATGCCGCTGATCAGAAGAAGGCCTTCTGGCTGTTTCAAGCATGGAAATCCGAGAACTTGCTGGCTGATCTTGGCAATAACGCTCTGTCTGAGAACCCTGCTCTCTCGGCATCATTCTCTGAAGCCCTGGACCGTGCAAAACATCAGCTGGTTGCAGAGGCTGGTGGGCTCGAGTGCTGGAACAGCCTCTTACCCTCTGAGCGCACCAAACTGGAGTTGACAATGAAGTCTTCCATGGTGCGGACACTTGGACAAGATGCCTACCTTGGGTTATCAGAAACAGAGAAGCATGAGGCTGAGTTCCTCATACGTGCAGGGTGTTGCATGCACAAGGAACTAAATGCTGTAAAGGGCGGGAATGATGTAATGATGGCCAAATGGGATCGACTTGGCGTTGAAGGGCCAGTGCTCCTTGCAAACAAGGATAATGATGCAACGCTACAGGGTGCTTCTCATGGTGCTGATTGTGAGCCAACTCCTGCTGAGGTGCGTGCACTGAATGAGTCAAACCAAGGAGCAGTCAAGGCAATCAGTCTTGCGGGCGGAATCTTCAACAATAAAGATAAGAAGAAAGGCCAGCATGATACATATTGCTGGTACATGGAAAACAGAGGGCTGGTAGCCAGTCAATTTCCCGACACGAGCAATGTCAGGTTCCAGTCTCACATTGAAGCTGCGGAGGTGGTTCTCACGGATCATCAAGCTATACTCGAGTTTCTGGAATTTGTACGAGATAAGAAAGATCACTGGAAACTCAATCACATGGAACTCAACTTGTACAAGGCTCTCCACTGTTCGAAGACAATGACGGAGGTTGTTGCCATTGTGATATATGGTGGTACAGTCTTGCATCCATATTCACAGATGGTTCGGGGGCCAGGCACAGAGTCTCTCAATGTGCTGGACTTGGGACCGTTACACGAGGAACTGAAAAAGCACCTCAAAGTCATTCTTACTAATCCCAAGCTGATCTTTGGTGCTAATGTGGCCCCCGAGACAGCTTGCTTTGGTGGTCGGCCCTGGTGTAATACTGCTGCTATGGCTGCAGCATTCAAACTTGCCTCCAAGCTTGAGCATCTGCATCCAATTACACTAGCCCTATTCCAGGGAGCACTCGACAAGTGGGAGTCATTCACAACTGAATTTGCACCAGGCGGCACATGACCAAGCCAGTACTGAGGAGCGCGATGCTGCATGGATGCCTGCGACAAATGACGCAAACGAGGGGGCCCTTGGCGCATTCCGCCTGCGTGCACAAGATAAGCCTACCTTATCAATGCATCAGCACAATGTGATCGCACAATTTCGCCACAACGACACGTAGTCGTTTGTGGATGCAACATTTACCTCAGAAGATTTCTGCCATGCCATGCGCCTCGCGAGAGAAATTGATAGGGCTGGCCTCGAAAAGAACCGCCGCCTCGAGATTATTTGGCATGAAGAGGGTGAGGTCCAAGCAAAGAGGCAGAGGGTCGCAGAGAGGCAGCAGAAGGAAGCACAGAAAACGGTGAGCCGAGAGGCTGAACGCAATGCCACAGTGATGGTCCTGACACTAAATGAAGAAGAACTGAATCGACTCACCAAGGATAAGCTGATCATTCAACTGGAGATTCACCGGGTACAAGAATCGACTATACCTCGGGGCTTGCGAAGCATGGTGAATAAGGACCTCATAAGGATATTGATAGCTCAAATCTCTGTCGTTCTCCAGCAAAACGTGCACGCTGCGAGTGCGAGTGGTCCCTGTGAGCAAGGCAGAAGCTTGGACTCGAGCTAGGGGCACAGTCAAATGATAAGATTCTTGCGATCACTAGTTTCTTTGCATTTTTAATAAAACATAGTCATTCATTACTTCATACAGTACAAATACAAATACCTACTTGCTATGCGTACATTCCGAGCTTAATACATCTTGTATCACGCAGCTTGCTCGAATCTACTCCCTGTGTCATTTCACAGCGCGACCTTGAGGGGAATATTAGGTAAGCATCACACACTTTTGGCGGGGGCTGCCCACCCCCAATTATAAAACATAGGACCTTGCTCCCAGTGAGGCACCGGCTCTATTTAGACATACAATACATTGCAACAATGCCAAGCCATTTTCGGAATTTGCGACAGAACTGATAGGGCTTTTCGGCTGTCGAGCCCACCATTCGACTGTGCGCTTACGGTTTTCAATAGCGTTCCACTGGTTCAATAATTCTTCGTTGATTATTGACTATTACTCTACTACTGTACAACGCAACAGGAAGCGTCATGTGGTCTCGCCGAAATCCAATGGTTAGATGGTAACCAATTGGTTCAGACTACATAATTCTCCTCATTGTTAAGTGATAAGTTTCTCCTCCGCATTTACTCTCGTGTCTTCTCTGTCTTCCCTACTGTGTCGAGGGCCTTTTCCCCAGACACTATCAATTCCTCCAGCATCATTTTAATCTTCTCATACAAAACATCACCTTTGCCTTTCCTTCCATTGTCAGTACCCTCGTCCTCTTCGTCATGGTCGCTTTCGCTGAGATATGGCGAAGAGTTGAGAACGCGAAAAGTCCCGGGGGACAAACTCAGCCGAGAGTCTCTTAGTTTCCTGCGCAAATCACGAATTTCTTTCGCTTGCCGATGTTTTGTATTTTCCAAGGACGCGTTAATGGCAAGAAGCGAACGATTGGTGATTTCTAAATCTGCAATCTATGAGCAACAACTTCTTAGTGTGGAGGAATATGAGTGCACTCAAAGGTTCAAGGACCTTACGATTAGATTTGGCCTCGGCTTTCACTTTATGTTCCGAACATTGTGGACCCAGCTCAACATAATCCCAATGGTCTGATCTTCCATGCGCCACGAGAGTAGAATCTCCTGAAGTCTGATCACCAACGGACAGATCGTGCAAGGACGGCCGCTGTTCTGACCCGCATAGGCCTCCAAGCTCGATATCTCTTCCCACCTTCAAAGGGGAAAACATGACCGATGTACTGATGCTACTTTCTCCTGAGTTATCAGCGGTATTTGAGATAGCCGAACGCGAGACAGATGATGGAGACGAAAGGGATAACGCTGAGACAGGAGGAGAATATGAAGGAACAGGGATAGCAAGAGCACCCACTCTTTTGTCATCGAGTGAATGATTATCCAAGGCACCCATATGATGGATACCATCACTTCTAGTTCTAGTAGACGACGTTCGGCCAACGGTTCCATGGACGTAAGTGTAAGAATCTGCATCTAACTTTGATAAAACGGGAAGAGGAGAACTGGGTGAAAGCACGGAAGACATTAACTCGGAAGGGACATAACCACGAGTGCGGATTGGCCTCCTAGTGACTTCGGCTGGTGATGACAGCGATACAACAGGAATAGTGCCGGGATAGTCGTACTCTGTCAACTCAGATATTGAAGACCTTACGTCAGCATGAACCAATGGTTTTTCGCCACTCCCATTACTTCCCAACTGGCTCGACAGAGAAGATGTCCAGAAATCTGGAGTAACTGATGTAACGGTTTGAGACGTAGTAGGCACATGATGCCTAGTCACACTACTGCTGGGAAGCCTACCCCTTGAGCGTTGAAGGTTTCCATCAGGGCTGGCAACAGCTAGCGGTCGTTTATAAGTATTGGCACGGGTTGTTCTTGACTGAATTGCTTCTGACTGGGACGAAGGTTGAGCAACAAGATGAGCTTTGGCAGCCATGTCACCCACAGAACCTGCACTTGACGACACGAGACGCTTGGAAGGCGAAGCCGCCCTCGAACCGACTGCTCGACTTTCGATGGTTTTTTGGGAAATGCTCAACGAGCTAGCACTGGATAGTTTTCGTATAGTGACGACACTGCTGTTTACTTTGGCCCTAGGACGTCTAGCAGGTAACGATAGCGAAGAATTTATTGATATTGTAGAGGGTGACGTTGACCTTGACAAAGGTCGACTGGGAAGTGAAGATGAGCTAACGTTGTTGTAGTTGCATTTAACAGTGACCTAAAGCAGAAGATTGCTAAACTGCTGCAATGACCGTTGAAAAGCTCTCTAAAAGCCCTCATACCTTCGTTTTCAGCGAGGTCTCCATGAACAAAATTCCACGGAAAAGGATATATGGGATGAAAAGATTGCGACCACCGCATCACGAAAACGGACATGGTGGCGGTGGGCAAACATCGCCATACAGATGGTGGTAACATATCACTCTCAGTAACACTTCACGGTGAGGAGCATTTTGTCGGCTTGAAATGTTATAGCATCGCCCTCCGGGCACCCCTGGCACCTAAAAGGCCACTTAACAGTATACACCAAGGTCTGTATACAACGCAGTACACCAATTTTTTATTTTGAAAATTTAGAAATGTATAACAGTCAAATGAGAGTACAGTAATCTATGCAGGCTCAAATGAGGTGATGAAATGCGATGACGCTGTAGAAAATTAGTAAAAAACAGAACACAGGAAGTAAGAGAACATACGCAGGAACCAAGATATTCAAAAGGCCGATGTCTCTTTGGGAGAGGTGTGTGGCGGCGGAAGGATCTGAACGGGAGTGTTTGATGATAACAATTCCACCACACCATTTGCGATGGTCATGGTAAAAATACAGGTGGGTGTCGAGCAGGTCATTTACAATTTTGTTCTCAATGGTAGATATGGTTGAAAGGGATTGGTTGTGAAACAACATAGTGAATTTATTGTTGAGGAAAATGATGGGAGTCGTAAAGGAAGGTACTCTGTTAAAAGTTATGGAGTGGATATGGGTGCTTGGCTCACGCTCGAAAGACAGAATGGGTAGGATGTTGTCATTGTATTCAGGTATTGGAGTAGATGCTTCTTCATCAAGTGTGTCATGGATGTCCCAGTAAGTTTGATGTAGTTCTTCTTGTGTGGCAAGGATGGTGGGTGGAAAGAACAAGTGGTAATTGAGTTGAGTGATATGAGAGCAGGAGCATTCATCATGTGACAAAGAAGGCACATTGATGATCATAGGGCAAGCACCATCTATTGGGAAATAAGTGGCTTTGTACATGCGTGAGTAGCACTGGTAAGGGAGATGCCAGCGTTGTCAGTGTGTGCAAGACAAGATACAATAGACCTCCATGTATGTGAGAACATATAGTACGAGAAATATGAGTTGCGGCATCTGAGTTGCTAGGAGGGATTGAGGTCAAAGTTTTGCAGTTAAGAGAGGATAGAGCGTTCTTGAGCAATAGATGATGGGGAGTTTCCACTGTGAAAATACACCAGATATTGTGCGTGATGTCCTGAGAAGTGATACATGCATTTGTAACCCAGTCAGTTGAAATTGGTCCATTTTTCAGGATAAAGATTCTGCCTCATCAGGAAAAACCCTTTTGCTATATAGCGCTATATAGCCACCACCTATATATATAAATACATTCATAGAAACTATAGTACTATCAGTGCAATCATAGCTCTTATAGCTCTTATAGCACAGTAGTAGGCAAAATTTTAACCAAGGGGAGAAGTATCTATAATTCCCTCAAACTCTGGATTAATCTAATAAACTTGTTCAATAATAGAAAGAGGCCAAAAGTGTTTGGAGTGAAGTATATTATTATAGGCAAGATACTATAAGTGCTCTTATAGCCTATAGCAGCCTACATAGCTCCTATAGCTGTAAAGGTCATAGTTATAATATAGTTCAAGGTGCTTAAAAGGGCTAATAAATCATCCAGTATTAATTGATTATGTAGCCTGTATTAGTGAAATAGTAGTTTGTATCCCTGATACTCACAAAATGAGAATAATGATTTATCCAAATATAAGTAGTGACAATGAGTAAAAAAATAATCTAAGTCCATAAAAGGTCAATATATAACACCTGTATAATACATTTTATAAGCTCTCATGGTGTAGTGGATAAATGTGATGTGTGGCTGTAGGTTGCTTAGTCACCCAAGAGCTGACTAGCAGGTTGAGAGCTCAAATCCTGTCTGTGTTAGTTTTTTTAATCAGCCACACAACAATTTGCAACATCTATAAGAGCATTTATAGAACTATATGAGGCTCTATAGATGGCAGAGGTTCTATAACAGGTTTAACCACTATAACAGCTTTATGAGTACTTATAGTGCTATAGAGCTCTATATAGCTACCCCATTTTTCCTGATGCTATAAGTAAGGGCCTTTTTTTTCATGTGCAAATAACAGATTGGCGATGTTGTTTGGGATCTGTGGTGAAGTCGGAGAGGCAATGGACCCATATAACTGGTAGTAGGAATGATCACACTGAGGGACTCAATCATAAAAACACCCCAAATCATGCACGGTAGATTGCCCTGGCAATGATTCCAAGTAGTGGAGCAAGGCAGGATCATCAGGTGAGTAAGGCATGGAGATCCCCTGAATGCCTCTTTCAAGACATTCACGTGTCATGTTTTGGATTTGCAATATGACCAGCTTCAGTCGGAAACAGGTAAATAATTGAGGCTGTTGTTGTTGTTGTTGTTGTTGGTCAATGTTGACACAGAATTTGCAAAATTGCTGTGTACATGTGGAATCTCAGTGAGATGTGCTACCGCTGCACCAGCGTCTCCCTTAGAGCGTGGCCCTGGCAAGACAAACACTAGGGTGCTTGATTCTGGTAAAATTAAAATTAAAAATATAGAAAATCATAAAGTAGAAAAACATGTTTCTCTTGATATTTCTTCTTCTTCTTCCTTGGAGCCACTTTCCACAGAAATCCCAAGGCGTGTGTTGATGTGCACACATATCTATTCCAAAAGGAGATCCATTTAGATGTTGGTGTGGAAAACCTTGCCCAGGGCATAGTACACCCAACCAGTGCACTGCTTGATTCAGGCGCTAATGGAATCTTCATAAATCAGGTCTGGGTGGAGCAAATTGGACTCCCCCTTGTAAAATTAGATGTATCTATTCCCATCTATAATGTTGATGGTACACTTAATGCAGGTGGCTGCATTACGCTCAAATGTTCTTTTGTTGTTGAGTACCAAGGATACAGAGAACAAGTCACCGCCAAAGCTATCCAACTAGGGAAAATTAATTTAATCTTAGGCTGGACCTGGCTATTTAAACACAATCCTGAGATTAACTGGCAGACAGGGGTTGTCACATTGTCAAGTTGCCCTCAGGAGTGTGATAACTTGGGTAAACCAAGTCATGTCTGTCAAACTGAGCTTGATGAAAGGATAAACGCTGGTCACATTTATGTCAAGCTTAGACCTTTAGATCAGATTGACAATGATGATGATGAGGTAAAACCTGAGGAAGAAATTAAGAGGCTGGTACCTCCAGAGTACCATGACTTCTGGAAAGTCTTTTCAAAACACAAATCAGAGCGCTTCCCAGAGGCTAAGCCTTGGGACCATGCTATAGATTTGAAGGACACGTTTAAACCTAGAAAAGGACACATGATTCCCCTCTCTGCTCCAGAAAGAGATGAAGTATCAAGTTTCATAGATGAACAGCTCAGGGAGGGTTACATCAGACCTTCCAAAAGCCCTATAACATCCCCAGTGTTCTTCAATCCTAAAAAGGATGGTAAAAAGTGTATGATTATGAACTATTGTTACTTGAATGAGTACACAGTTAAAAATGCGTATCCACTGCCTTTAATTAGTCAGCTAGTAGATAAGTTGGCTGGTGCCAAGGTCTTAACAAAGATGGATCTCAGATGGGGGTAGAATAATGTACGAATCAAAGAAGAAGATGCTTGGAAGGCCGCATTCGAGTGCCACCGAGGATCCTTTGAACCCCTTGTCATGTTTTTTGGGTTGACCAATTCACCAGCGACCTTCCAGAGCGCATGATGAATGAGATCATTGCGGATATGGAAAACTGTGTTGTCATTTACATTGACAATTTAATAATATTTACAAAGTTGGATGATGAGGCTAAGCACAACAAGATTATGCAAGAAGTCCTTTGACGCTTACAGGAACAGGACCTATTTGTCAAACCCAAAAAAAGTAATTTTGAAGTGAAGGAAGTAGACTTCCTCGGTGTGATAATTGGCCAGAACGGAATCAGGATAGATCCTGAGAAAGTTCAAGCTATTTTGGATTTGTCAGAACCTACTTGCATCAAAGGAGTGAGGGCCTTCCTTGGCTTAGGCAATTTCTACCGAAGATTTGTCAAAAACTTCGCAAAGATCATGAGACCATTGAATGATCTCACTAAAAAGGACATTGTCTGGTACTGGGGCGCCAAAGAACAAGAAGCTATTGATAAGCTTAAACAGCCCTTCTCAACAGCGCCCATATTAGCATTTCCAGAATTCAACAAAGAGTTCCGCCTAGAAACCGACTCTTCTGATTTTGCTACTGGGGCTGTTCTATCAATTGAATGCCCTGATGAGCTTTGAAGGCCTTGTGCCTATTTATTGCATAGTTTGTCACCTACAGAGCGCAACTATAAAATTGACAACAAGGAGATACTGGCCATCAATAGAGCTCTAGAGTACTGGCGACACTACTTAGAAGGTGCTAGGCACCATTTTGAAATCTGGACTGATCTGGAGTATTTTATGATGGCCCAAGACTTGAACCAAAAACAGGCCCGCTATGCGGTGTACTTGTTTAGGTTTAATTATAAATTCATTCAAAAGCCAGGTACTTCTATGGGGAAAGCGGATGCTTTATCTAGAAGAGAGGATCATGCCAACGGCATCGAAGATGACAACAAAAGTGTCACCCTGATAAATCAATCCAGGGTTGCCAATGTTTGAATCAGGCAAGACTCTGATCTTCTAGAAGTCTTCAAGAGAGACATCTCCTCAGAAGAGAAGGCGCACCTTGATGGCAATGAACATTAGAAGATGGGCTCTTCCATTACAAGGACAATATCTATGTGCCTGAATCTGCAAAGATTAGTGCAATAGATAGACATCATGACACTCCAGTGGCTGGGCACCCTGTTAGTTTTGGTGATTCTGCACCTAGTTGTGCTATCTATTTTCCCTTCTTTCTAAATCACTTTCCTCTTTATTCTTTTTGCTCTATTGTTCAGTATTCACTGAGCATTCTATAATTTCGCCTTTGTGGCTGATTTGTTTACCTTTGTTTACAAAACTTCGGACAGTACTGCAGAGTCCAATGCTTCCTATTCTCTAGTTACTCACATTGGACTCTAG